GTGTGTGTGTGTGTGAGTGTGTGTGTGTGAGTGTGTGTGTGTGTGTGTGTGTGTGTCCATGTGACATGTATAGTCACATGGGGCTCTGTATTGAGAAGGGCTCTTCACTCGGTTTAATGCTCTGCTGTTGATGTATCAAAATTCTTTAAAAAAATTTTTTTTAACATTTATTTATTTTTGAGAGACAGAGAGAGGCAGAGCATGAGCAGGGGAGGGGGAGAGAGAGAGAGAGATACAGAATATGAAGCAGGCTCCAGGCTCCGAGCTGTTTGTTAGCACAGAGCCTGATGTGGGGCTTGAACTCTCGAACAGAAAGACCGTGACCTGAGCCGAAGTTGGACCCTCAACCAACTGAGCCACCCAGGGGCCCCTTGAAATTCTTAGTCATTTTTGAGCAAGGGGCCTGCATTTTCACATTCCACTGGGCCCTGCAAATTATGTAGCCAGTCCTGAAAACACCCAGTAACCCACAATTTCTCTTTCCCTCTTTTCCTTCCTTTCCGCATGATGCCTAAGACATTGTCAGAGGATAGAATGGAACAGTGAATCTCTAATCATGATGCCAAAACTCTCTCTAGAAAATGGGTGCTATTGTCTCCTGGGAGAGAAGTTCTTTATGGGATGGAAACTATGTCATGGCTTTCAGCATGGGAAAGCACAGTGTCTGTGAAGATCTCGCAAGTTGTTTAACTCCTCTTGGCCTCAGTTTTCTTATCTATAAAATGGGGAGAACAGTAATAGTATCTAACTCAAGAGGCTGGTTCAAGGATGACATGGAATCATGTGTCTACAGCTCTGACATATAATATACACATTAGTTGTTATTAGTGCATTATGGATGCTCAGCAGGTACTAAATATCCAATACTGTTTATGACATGGTGTGCATCACCTGCCTGACTCCAAGGTGCCCTTATCCCAGGGGTTTGTTTCCTACCTGCCCCACAGAGCTGGGAGGAATATCTCCTTTTTCCGTGTGCTGGGTGATCACAGAGGGGTTGCTGGAGCTGATGAGCACTGGGGTGCTGATCTCCACCATATGGCGCCCCGAGGGAGAATGGACCATCCTGTTGAGAGTGTTCAAAGCTGTTGTGATGGAGAACTGCCCGGGCCCTTTCCTCCTGGACCCAGGGCCCCTGCGGAGGGTGGGCGTGTTGGCTGCTTTGCCTCGGGAGGATGAGGGTACCAGAGACAGGTTCTTTGTGCGGACCGATTGACGGCCTTTGTTCTTCTCTAGGAGGTGTCTTGCAGTGAGGTTGGGCTGAAAACACAGAAGGTCCATGAGAGGTTAGTCTTCCTGATCTGGTGTGAGCAGCTAAGTCCTATCTAGGCTAGTCTGAAGCGGGTTCGGATGCCGCCACCTCAGCCATCACTCTTTGGTCAGCTTCCTCCTTTTATATATATGTCCCAGCTACTTGGCTGCATCAAGAAATTCCGACAAGTCTCTTGCAAAGTAGATATTGCTCTCCTTCCTCACTGAGGTCTCCAGGGGTTAAAAATAAGTCATGATACTCTTCCCTGATCGGGAGCACTCTTCCTTTACCCATTTCTCCCAGGCACACCCTCCCCTTTTCCTCCTTCAGCCATTCCTGAATGCCACTGCGTGGGCTGCAGCTTCTATCCTTTTCCACCATGGCACTTTACACAACACACTGCAATCATTTCCTTCCCCCACTGGACTGTTAGCTACCTGATGGCAGCGAGCTCATACATGTTCGTCTCGGCCCTTTCCCACAGCGGATGCTCAGTGAGCGCTTGTGGAATCACGCATGGATGGACTTGGTCAGGTTTTCTCATCTTATAAGCATTTGAACCATAATGTAAATGTATTTGGGACTTTGAATCTTTATGCTACTTTTACTACTTTCTTTAAACACTTTTAACTCCTCACATTTCTCTCTTGTTTCATACCTCTTAGTCTCTAATATGCTGGTGTATGGAGAAAGAAAAGAAAAGAAAAGAAAAAACATAAGTGCAAGCCCTGATTTGTAGAGTTTCCCAATTTCTACGGTGCAAATACCTACCAATGGTTTAACAACTAGCTAGCAAAATTCCTGAAAATATAAAAACCAGCTCTGACAATTTAGTACCAGCTAGGTCTAGCACAGCCACCAGCTGTGTTATATTTTGGGTTCAATTCCTTTGGAAGGCTGGAATACATGGACAGAGTTGTCCTCCAAAGCCATGTGTCTCATTCCACTTTACAGATTCAACTATAAAGATAAAAGGGAATTTGCCCATTTCAGAACATTTTAATGACAATATGCAGATGATTAACATAGCCAAGATAGAAAATTTTATTTTATTTTTAAATGTTTATTCATTTTTGTGAGAGAGGGAAAGAGAAGGGGAGGGGAGGGGCAGAGAGAGAAAGGGACAGAGGATCCAAAGTGGGCTGTGTGCTGACATCAGCCGGCCCATGTGGGCTTACACTCACAAACCATGAGATCATGACCTGAGCCTAAGTCAGATGTTCAACTGACTGAGCCACCCCAGGCATCCCCCAAGATAGAAAGTTTTTAAAGAAGATACAATTTCTACCTCACAAAGCTTGTAATACTGTGAAAAAGAATCATTGAGTAGGGGAAGGGGCATTACTATGTCCAGTTTATTTTATCTATTTAAAAATTTTTAAAAAATATTTATTTATTTTTGAAGGAGAGAGAGACAGAGCGTGAGTGGGGGAGGGGCAGAGAGAGAAATGGAGACACAGAATCTGAAGCAGGCTCCAGGCTCTGAGCTGCCAGCACAGAGCGCACTCAGAAGCTGATGGGGGGCTCGAACTTACAAGCTGTGAGATCATGATCTGAGCTGAAGTTGGACACTTAACTTAATGAGCCACCCAGGTGCCCTATTATGTCCATCTTATGTATGTATGTATGTATGTATGTATGTATGTATGTATGTTTATCTTTGAGAGAGACAGACAGAGAGAGCACAAGTTGGGGAGGGGCAGAGATAGAGGAAGACACAGAATCTGAGGCAGGCTCCAGGCTCTGAGCTATCAGCACAGAGCCCAACGCAGAGCTTGAACTCACAGACCATGAAATCATGAGCATGGCCAAAGTCAGATGCTTAACTGACTGAGCCACCCAGGTGCCCCTATTATGCCCACTTTAAAGATAAAAGGGCTGTGGCCCGAAGGGGTGACTTATAAATGGCACAGCCAGCAAACAGACAACCAAACAAGAAAATATCAGACAGAAGTAAGTGCTTTGACGTGATAAAGACGGGTTGGGGGAGATGCCTACTTTAGATGGGGGTGGGTGGGTCAAGGAAGTTCCCCTGAGAAGGTGGCATTTAACTGAGACACAGATGACAAGAAGGAACCAGCTGTGTGAAGATGGGGGTAAGAACATGCCAAGCAGAGGGATTATAATCAAGTAAAAAGATCCTAAGGAGGGGGAAAAACAGTCTGAGAAAAAAGCAAGAAACAGAAGCTGGAATGGAGTGAGGAGCAGATGGTAAAGAGACCACAGAGACAGGCAGTGGGGGGGTCACAAAGGTCCTGGGAGACTCAAGTTTATTCTAAGTGTAAAGGAAGCCTTTGGCAGGATTAGGTAGAGGAGTGACACAATCTGATTTCTGCTTTTAAAAGCTCATGCTTTGCTTTGGCAGTTTCTTACAAAGCTAAACCCACACTTGGCATCTGACCCAGCCATCTCACTCCTAGGTAATTACTGAAGAGACAGGAAAACTTATGCCTGCTCAAAAATCGGTATGCAAATGTTTATGGCAGCTTCACTCGTAGCTGCCGACAGCTAGAAACAATGCATTGTCTTTCACCTGGTGCACGGACAGACTCTGGCACATCCATGCAGTGGAATGCGGCTTAGCAATAAAAAGGGAAGAGCTGCTGATATACCTAACTACATGGATGAATCTCCAATGCTTTGTGCTAAGTGAAAGACGCCAGACTCCAAGGCTACATTTTGCAGGATTCCATTGCCATGACATTCAGGAAAAGGAAAACTATAGGAGCAGAAACCAGATCAGTGATTGCCTGCTATTGGGAGTCAGGAAGGGGCTGACTACAAAGAGTCAGCATGTTGTTGCACTTTTTGGGGATGTTGGAACTATTCTAGATCTTTTTTTTTAATGTTTATTTTTGAGAGAGGTGGGGTGCAGAGAGAGACAGAGAGACAGAGAGGATCCGAAGCAGGTTCCGCACTGACAGCAGACAGCCCAATTCGGGGCTCAACTCACGAACTGTGAGACCATGACCTGAGCTGAAGTCGGACGCTTAACCGACTGAACCACCCAGGCACCCTGGAACTATTCTATATCTTGATGGTCGTGTGGGTATACTGGATGCATTTACCAAAATGTATAGAAGTGGACCCGAAAAGAGTAAATTTTGCCATATGCAAATAAAAACAAATACATAAAAGTTTAGACTTTTATGTATTTGTTTTTATTTTTATTTTTTGTTCAGAAGTACCAGCGTACCAGCGTAGAAGTAGGGAGACTACGTAGGAAGTTACAGAAGTTGTGTCGGCAAGCTCTGATGGCAGTGCGGGCTCGGGACAATGTCTACATTCCCCAGAGCACCTATCCCTCCATTGTTGATTTAGTAAGAGGGCAACATATACTCTTTGAGTTGAATGAGTAAAGTTCTTTATGGTCATTCACAGCTAGAATGAAATCAGTTAATTTTTTTTTCCTGCTTCCTAATTGTTCTTTTTCCCCTGGTGAGCAACACCTTCAGTGTTTTCATCAGCAACATTGACAAAGGGCTTTGTGTGACTCTTGGTCTGCCCATGTTCTGCCAACGTGATTAATAGCTCGGTTGGGGAAAGACTGCACATCTCTTAAATTTGTACCCACTCATTTGCAACAATATCCTTGAGGTTCATTGGGCTGAGCAAGGTTCACATAACCCAGGCAGGCCTCACTGGAGAAGTCCTGACAAGAATGGGTATAAGCTCAGCATTTGTTTTACCACCTTTTTATTCAGGTGTAATTCAATAAATCAAGTGATGCATTAACAAGAAAAATCCTGTTTATGCAAAAAAGAAAAAAAAAAAAAAACAACCCATGCCACTCTTACCAGAAAGCTTTCCTTCTTTTCAGTTGCTTTGCATGGCACTGATAATTCAAAACTTGTTTAAAGAGTTCTTAGCAAGTGCTAGTCTTAATGAAATGACTGGAGTCAAAATTTAAGTACTGCTTTAAAAAGCTCAATTTAGATTTCAAGTAATTTTTGAAAATCAGGTTTCCAGATTAGAGCAACCACTTGATTATCTTTTTCCCCTCCTAGCAATTAGGAGAACAAACGAAGCAATGGCTAGTTTGATGATAATCTTGAGGGTTCTCATAATCACTAATTTTAGAGGTGAAGGGGTGGGGAGAGTGTCCAAATGAATAATCATTAAATGTAGAAATTTTCGAAAAAAGAGTACCAAAAATGGGTAATAAAATCAATGGTGCTTTTTTCCCCCCAGAGCTATGGAGAAGCTTCTTGAAATTATGCAGGGGACCACGCAAGCTCTAAAATGCAAAAATGTAAGCACCTCCTATGTATCCATTTTGGTATCGATTGTAGCTGATCTCTGTCCTTGGAAATTTAACCACTGTCTCCCCATCACTGTAATTGTCCCTCTTTGGTAGCGGCTCCACCACTAACCTAGGCACATAAAGCAGAAAGTGGGGCATGCATTCTTGACCACTCCCTCTCCCCTGTTCCTCACTTTTGTCAACCTCCAAGCCCTGTGGATCTACCTCCTAAATGGTGTTTGAATCTGTCTACTTGTTTCCAATTTCCCGGTCCAAGCCACAGTCATCTTCCAACGGAGCCATGCGCCAGCCTCCTACCTGGTCTTCCTGTTTTTTCCTCTCTCCTCCTCAAATTATTCTTCTTACTATAGCCAGAAGAGCAGACTTTAAGAAATCCAAGTCTGGGGGCACCTGGGTAGCTCAGTGGGTTGAGCATCTGACTTTGGTTCAGGTCATGGTCTGGAGCTCTGTGAGTTCGAGCCCCGTGTCGGGCTGTGTGCTGACAGCTCAGAGCCTGGAGCCTGCTTCGGATTCTGTGTCTCCCTCTCTCTCTGCCCGTCCCCCAGTCTTTCTCTCAAAAATAAATCTACAACAACAACAAAAAGAAACCCAGGTCTGATGGAGTTACTGTGTCCCTTAGAATCTTCCAGTGGTGTCTACTGACTTCTGGATCAAGCCCAAACTTCTTACCATGTGGCACAGACCACCATACTTATCAGATGTTCCTCGTGCTCCCCTGTACTTCTCAGCTGCCTTGAAGACAGGTGGGGCTAGGGGACTGGTTCAGGCCCACGGGCCATGAGTGGAGTGACAAGTGTCAGTTTTGAGCTGAGGCATTTGCTGATACACAACTCAATCCTCCTTACTCCTCCCCTGCTATGAAGACTGGGGAAGTCCATGTGCTCCAGATGGCAACTACAAGGTGGCCCAGCCTCAGTGTGGGTTTCTAGAGTGACTATGTGAGCACAGCTTCCCACTGTTCTGTGCCAAACATGTAATGTGGGTGAGAAGTAAGTTTTTCCTTGCTAAGTCACTGGCAGTTTGGGGCTATTTATTACCATAGCATAACCTAGTTCATCCTGACGAATACAGGATGATTTATAAAGCCCTCAGTGACCTGTCTCCCACTCACTTCCCTGGTGTGTCAGGTTACTGTCTTACTTTCTAAGCTCCAGCTCTAGTATTCTTTCGGTCCTGTGGATACACTACGCTTCCTCAACCTGCCAGACTTTTGTTTATGTTACCTCCACTCCCTAAAACACTCTTCTCTCGGTGCTTACCTACATAACTCCTATCCATCTGGGTGATCTTGGCATACAAGGTATTCGCTGACCTCCTTCCCAGGTCAGTTGCACATCATTCCCTCCTCCCCCCATTTATTTCCCTCCCTTTCATTCTTTGCATCATTCATCACACTTAAAAATTACTTAATGTCTGACTTTATAGTCCCTGCAAGTAGGAACCCATTATCTCTTTGTATCTTTAGAACTTAGCATAGGACCTGACTTAGCAGGTACTCAGTGAAACATTAGTTGAGTGATTGAATATATGTGTACAGGACAGGGTCACACTGAATGGTTTGTTTTCTTTTCTTTTTTTTTTTCAATATATGAAATTTATTGTCAAATTGGTTTCCATACAACCCCCAGTGCTCATCCCAAAAGGTGCCCTCCTCAATACCCATCACCCACCCTCTCCTCCCTCCCACCCCCCATCAACCCTCAGTTTTTCAGTTTTTAAGAGTCTCTTATGCTTTGGCTCTCTCCCACTCTAACCTCTTTTTTTTTTTTTTTCCTTCCCCTCCCCCATGGGTTTCTGTTAAGTTTCTCAGGATCCACATAAGAGTGAACACCTAAGGTATCTGTCTTTCTCTGTATGGCTTACTTCACTTAGCATAACACTCTCCAGTTCCATCCACGTTGCTACAAAAGATTTCATTCTTTCTCACTGCCACGTAGTACTCCATTGTGTATATAAACCACAATTTCTTTATCCTGAATGGTTTGTTTTCTATTTTTTTTCTCTTCATTCACTTTTTAAGCTTTTTTTTTTTTTTTTTTTTTTTTAGAGAGCCTTTTTGTGTCAGGCTAGCCTGTGGGGAATAAGCAATACACCCCTCAGGTGTTTGGAGAAGAAAGAGACAACTGAGTGTTCAACTAGTGGTTAGAAATTTTATGGAAAAAGCAGGTTTCTAGTTGAGCCTTGTAAAATGAGTGAAATTTGAACAAGTAGAGAGAATTGGGTGTGTTTGCCTGAAAGGGACCTCAGCAAGATAAAAGGACTGGTAATGAGAATACTGTTGACTAGAGATGGTAAGATGACCAGACTCTCTGGACCCTTCCTCTATCCTTCCCTTCCATTTTTCATCCCTTCAGCATCAAGTTAGAAGAGCTATAGAGAACCTTGAAAGCTTAGAACCTGCTTTGGCTCTTATGAATGAAAGAACTGGCCCTTTTTCTCCAACTCTGCCCCATTCTATTTTCACCCTGCCTTCCTAGAGGGTTGAAAACATGCCTTTTCCTTCTTTCATAGCTCTGCCGTGCTCACTTTTAATGCTTTGTGCCTGGTAAGCATCCAATTAATGCAGTTAAACAATGAATCCTCTCTTAAATTTGTAATGACCTGCCTCAAGCTAGGGTGAGGCTCAAGGCTAGAGAGGTTGGGAACTCCAGGTTATAGTATTATACTTGAGAAATAGGCAGATAGGGTCTAGTATATGGTCTTCTTTTTTAAGGGAGCTTAAAAAACCTCCAGAAGTAATATATGCTTATTTCAGAAGATTTACAAAATATAGGGCAGCAGAAGAAAATGAAAATTATCTAGAATCTCACTATCTGGTGATCACCACTGTTAACAGTTTTGTACATATCGTTCCACCCCCTGTCCATTTATATACACACATATTTATGAAGCTAGTTTAATATAGCTCCATTTGTTAATTGTGGCAAAAAACATGTAACAGAAAATTTACCGTAACAACCATTGTAAAGTGTACAATTCAGCAGTGTTGACTATGTTCATATTGTTGTGAAACAGATCTCTAGGACTTCTTCACCTTCTAAATCTGAAACTCTATGCCCATTAAACTTTACTTAATAACAAATCATAAACGTCTTTTGATAATATACCAAATACTCAAAAATACTGAATTTTCTTTAACATTATGTTTAATGGGTATATATATTTTTTCCTCACCATAATTTAAAAAACCGAAATCCTTATTGTCGGATGTTTAGATTACTTCTGGCTTTTCACCATTACACACAACGCCATGGTGAACACATATATCTTTGTGTACTTGTTTGAATATTTCTTTACAATAAACTGTCAGATTGATGCAACTGCTGAATCAGAGGAGATGTAGGTTTTTAGTGTTATTGACATGGGTTTCTTTGAGTTTGGGTATGAGACACTGCACTATTTACACTCCCATCAGAATAAAAAGGTCCATTTCACCACACACTTGCCAGAACTGAATGTTATCTTCTGGAATCTTTTCCTTGGAGACTTTAGTTACTTCTGAAATAAGCCTCATATCAAAAAGGAATTTCTCTCAGGCATCCCGGTGGCACATACATACTTCTGAGTGGGTGTGAATCAGATGTAGACTTGATACTCACGTACCTCTACAAACAAGATTGGGAAGATGCCGACTTTATCTCCTAACTTGCCTTCTGCCCAGTTCTCATCCACTCGGCTGATCACGGTGATGATATCGTCCTGAAAGAGAGAAAGTTTCATGGTCAGCATTTGCTCTCAGTTTTCAGGTGGTGAAAGCTTTTAGTGGAGAGCAGTTTGGAATCCCAGATGGTGTAAGGTACAAGAAACGTAACTCTTTCATAATTTATTTGTAAAATCTTCTTCCATAAAGGGCATAAGTATTGGGCCACCAAGACCACAGGAGGAGTAGAAATAATTTGGAGGACCAGTGGAATCCAATAGAAAATTTGGAAATGTTTCTAATTTTCAATCACCAGCAGATTCTGAGCTTTCATTTATATTAATCAGATGGAGAAATCAATATGGGAGCCACAGGGAGATCTTTAGCTTAGCAAAAGGAAGAATAAATTTCATTCTAATTTTGAAGAATTTTCAGAACCTATTCAATTTTTAATGTATCAAATGTGAGGTGGCTTTTTATTCAAAATTTTCCTATTATAAAGGTTATAGGGGTACCTGGGTGGTTCAGTTGGTTAAGCATCCAACTCTTGATTTTGACTCAGGTCACGATCTCACGGTTTGTGGGATCGAGCCCTGCATCGGGCTCTGTGCTGACAGCACAGATGCTGCTTGGGATTCTCTCTCTCCTTCTCTCTCTGCCCCTCCCCTCTCCAAGATAAATAAATAAACATTTAAAAAAGGTTATATGAAGATTTGTAGAAACATTTGAAAATATAGTATGCAAAACAAAGAATTCTACCACAGTATATATACACTCATTGTTAACATCCTGATTAGCACATTTCCCAGCCAGAGTCTTCTCTCTGAGGATAAAACATACCCAAGTATACATATATATACATTGATTTTTAAAAACTTTGATGAAAACATACATACATATATGCAATAAAGTTCATAAAGTTTAGATGTAAAGCTTGATGAATGTTAACACTAACTATACGCACGAAACCCCCATCCAGATCAAGAGATAGAGACCATTTCCAGCACCCACAAGGCTCCTTTGTGCCCTTTCCCATTGCCTAGCAAGAAGTAAGCACTATTCTGACTCCTAGCATATACACTCATTCTGCCTCTCCTTATATTTCATACAAAAGGAGTCATGTAAGACACACTTTTCACTGTATACCATATCAGGAACACCTTTCCATATCCATACATGTTCATCAATCCAAATCTGAATATCCATCCACTGATTGCTCTGGCCTTCTGATCCATGCCCCTCAGCAATTTAGATAAATCAGAATCTAAGGTCATTACTGTATTATACCTTTTCTTACCTTTCTCTGCCCCTATCACAATTTACAATTATCCATTTATAGGTTATGATTTCTTTAATGCCTGTCTACCCCCTCAGACTATAAACTCCATGTGTTCAGGGCCTGTGTCTGTTCTGTTCCTTTCTGTGTCCCTAGCACCCAATACAGTGGTTCCCATTTAGTAGTCATTCAATAAATTTCTAAATGAATGTGTGCATGCATGAATAAGTCACTGTGTGAGTAAATTGTACAATTTACTGAGATAGAAAAACACTAGGAAAAGAGCAGCTTTGGGAGGGAAGATTTTTGGTTTAATTTGGACACGCTGAGTTTAGGAAGACCATGAAATTTCCTAGTGTAGCCTAAGCCTTTCATAGCTTCCAGAATGGATCAAATCTTCTCTTCTGGTTCCTTTATCATATTTTTCCATTCCCATGTCTGTTCTTTCCACTAGTCTGTCAGCTCTCTGAAGGTAGGAACAATGATTCATCACTTTAATCCAGCAGGCAGCTTGGCACATGGATGAGCTCAATGAATGAACAAGCAGGTGGAGTAAGTGTCCCAGTTTGCAAAGTCCCACAAAGGGGCAAAAAAGGAAGATGACGCTTCCTGCCTCTGCCTTCTTCCGGCAGTGTCCCCAGGGCTCGGTGTTTAATGCCTGGCCCAAAGTAAATACTCAATAAATGTCTGTGGGATTGAACTCCCCTTCCTGTAAGTGTGATTGAAACACAGACTTTGCAGTTTGGGCTACAGAATGGCCTTCCTTAAGGGGCTCATGCTGAGGGGGCTCAGTGTTGAGTGTCGGACTCTTGATTTCGGCTCAGGTCTTGATCTCATGGGTCATGGAATCAAGCCCCTCACTGGGCTGGCACACTGACTGGGATTGTCTCTCTCTGCCCATCTCCTGCGCGTGTGCGTACACTCTGTCTCCCTCTCTCTCACAAAATAAATAAATACACTTAAAAAAAGAGGAGTCACTCTGAGGTGCCAAGGTAACAATGATCAGTATTTCAAAATATGGGGTACAGTGAGGTTATCGAGACTGAGGCAATCTGCAGCAAATCTCATTTCTGGTAGTGGTGGAATAAAAATGTTTTGCAAAAGAAAAGACCTTTCCTGAGCTGCTATACCAGTGCCACTTCTAGTATTGATGTACTTCTCGTAAGCAGCGAAGAGTGAAAATCACCTCAACTTTGGCTTCTGTGAGAGAATTTGAGTGTTTAAGGAATCATAAATACCGAATACAGAGAATTAAAGCAGTTCTAGACTTTAGTAGAAGTGTTGTTACTTGCACATGAGAAGAATTATCTGATAAAAAAAAGGCAGAAAAAAATCTTAATTAATGTGCTTGGAAAATACAACTTGTAAGAGGTTAGTTATATATAAAGGTATAATTATGTTATTGAATGTGTTTGGAATGTTTTGAATACAATGTTTAGTATAAAATAGAATGTTGTAAAGAGTAGAATTAGATGCTCAGAACTTGGTCAGCAACAATGTACTTAGATAAAAGGGTAAAGAGGTAAGATTTGTAGTTTTGCACAGCACACTGTCAAAATGTATCTGTAAACTGTTGTCCACATATCTGTCTGTCCCACTACTCTGCCTATGGGCAGAGACTGGGACTTGTTCATGCTGCATCTCCAGGGCCTGCAAAGAGGTGTTCAAGAGTGACTAGAATGAATGAATGAATGAATGAATGAATGTGTGAATACCTATTTTTGTAATTGCAATAGAAAAGGTTTAAGGATTTGCATCAAACTCTTTAGTAGATTTCTCTGGCAACTTCCATTTAGTTTTGAATTATACACACACATACTTTACATACATATGCACACACACACACATATATAAACATTTCTGTGTAAACTATATATGTTTTAAAAATTAGCAAGTGTTAAAAACTCCAGGTTGTGGCACAGTATCTGTGTGGTCGCTGGTGACCTCCACGGCTACCTAGAATTATACCTTGAGGAAGCTCAGGCAGTCCTGGCTCTCACTCTTGTCTTTGTCTCGTAGGTCAAAATTGTAGAGGGCCCGGCAGAGCGGGGGTGGCTGGGGCAGCTGCTTGATGACTTCCACGGAGCTGGCTGGGAAGATCCCACTGATTCCATTGATCTCCCCCTGGTACCAGTTCTCATCCAGCTGTCTCCGCAGAAGGATGACATCTCCCTTATTAAACCTCAGGTGACCGGGATTCTGCCCTCGGTAGTTGCATAAGGCCTTTGCTCTTGGCACCTGCAGTGGCACAGACCAGTGAAATATGTACTTAGCTTACAGATTGGAGGGACAGAAGTATGTATAGCATTATTAACTGATTACTGAGCACTCCCTATGTGCTAAGTGCTGGATGTAGATCATCTTCTTTAACCTTTGAGATAGACATTCTTATTAGCCCATATCGAAGTAGGGCACCTGAGGCACAGAGTGGGTTAGTACCTTGCCTAAGGGGACACATCTGGGAAAAGGCAGATAGTGGGTCTGAACTCAGACTATCTGATTTTAGAGGCCCTGTTCTTTTTTTTTTTTTTTTTAATTTTTTTTTTCAACGTTTATTTATTTTTGGGACAGAGAGAGACAGAGCATGAACGGGGGAGGGGCAGAGAGAGAGAGGGAGACACAGAATCGGAAACAGGCTCCAGGCTCCGAGCCATCAGCCCAGAGCCCGACGCGGGGCTCGAACTCACGGACCGCGAGATCGTGACCTGGCTGAAGTCGGACGCTTAACCGACTGTGCCACCCAGGCGCCCCTTAGAGGCCCTGTTCTTAATCACTCTGCAGGGAACAGGATTTTGGCCACAACTCTGTGAACTTGAGTGAGTCAGTGACTCTTTCTGGGGCCTGAATATTGACTTGGAATTCTGGCTTGACCTCTTTCCTGTCATGTGACCATGATCAAGTCATTTAATCATTCATAAATCTATCCATTTATAAAATGGGATAATAATAGAATATGTGCTTTATCAGGGCAGTTGTGAGGACTACATAATATTCACAATGCATTTAGCATATTGCTTGATACATAGTACATACTCCATAAATGGCATCTCTTATAAATTTTTTTTATTACATTTCTTTATTTTTGAGAGGCAGAGAGAGACAGAGCGTGAGCGGGGGAGGGGCAGAGAGAGGGAGACATAGAACCCGAAGCAGGCTTCAGGCTCTGATCTGTCAGCACAGAGCTCGATGCGGGGCTCAAACTCAAGAACCATGAGATCATGACCTGAGCTCAAGTCAGACTCTCAACTAACTGAGCCACCTAGGCGTCCCTAAATGGCATCTTTTATAATCATCATCTGTAGGGAAAGGTTAATAATATCAGTTCTACCTACTCCTCAGTGTTGACAGGGAGACAACTGAGGTGAGAAGTCCCTGAAAATACAAAGTGCTGTATGAAGAAGGGCATCTGGCTGGCTCATTTGGAGAAGCATGAGTTTTTTTGTTTTTGTTTTTGTTTTTTTACATATTTATTTTTGAAAGAGAGATAGAGTGTGAGCAGGGGAGGGGCAGAGACAGAGGGAGACACAGAATCCCAAGCAGGCTGCAGGCTCCGAGCTGTCAGCACAGAGCCCTTTGAGGGGCTCGAACCCATGAGCCGTGAGATCATGACCTGAGCCAAAGTCAGACGCTTAACCTACTGAGCTACCCAAGTGCCCCAGAAACATGAGATTCTTGATCTCAGGGTTGTGAGTCTGAGCCCTATGTTGGGTGTGGAAATTACTAAAACCAAGCTTTAAAAAAGACAAAGTGCTATATGAGAGTGATTGCAGCATGATTTGTTCTCAGCCTTGTCTAGAAAGTGTAAACCTTGTGAGGGCTTGCATCATTAGGGAGCATTGAGACAAAGAAACATTTAGTCAGAGATCAGTCAGCACTTTAAAAAAAATCAGCTAAAGAACTGTCAAATTAGTTGTCTATCCAAATAATTATTTTAGTGAAGGGCATTTTTTTCTAATTGAAACTGGTTTCTACACAGAGAAGTGGCCTCACTCTCGTCTTGCTTGGAGTCAGTTTGGCAAACTAAAGGTTCTAATAACTTATGTTTAATAGCCCTTCATGGTCACCTGCATTGTATTTTACTTTGTGCTTTCCTCAGCAGTGGGGTGACATAGTCCCCTTTCTCGGGGGGTGGTCTTGCTACTCATAAGGGGGTGTAAGCAGGCAGTGTTCCAGTTCTCCAAGAACCTTCCGAGACCGCAATGTTACTTGAAAAGGAATTTCAAGCAGTTTAGGGGTAGAGACAAGATCTGAATAGTCCCTTGCTGACGGGATGATAGAGAAGTGCTTTTCTGCTGGTCCCTGGATACAGTAAAGGGAGCCTAGGGAAAAAGAAAACCACAGGAACACAGCTCATCCTCGGGAAACTTGGGGACACGTGAGCAAAGATGCGTGGGCTAGGAGGTTTAGCACAGTGTTATGGAGATTATAAACGGAACTGGTTGAATAAATTATGATACACCCACACAGTGGAAAACCCTGCAGTCATTAAAATTGATGAGAGAATCTATATGAGAATTACTCCTGATATATACTAAATTTAATAGAAGAGGTTAAAAACAGTTATGTTTTCATTATAAATGAAAACTAGGCTTTCCTTGTAAACACATACGTATATTTTTACCTTGAGAAAATGCTGGATGGCCAGACCAGCATTTTAAGAGTGATTATTTCTAAGCAGTGATATTTTTGAAAATTAAAAAATTGTTTTTCTAAGTGCTTAGCCATGCTTTCTAACTATTCTACAATGAAATAATTGTATTGTCTATTAAAATTGAATAGTAGAGGGGTGCCTGGCTAGCTTAGACAATAGACCATTTGGCTCTTGATCTCTGGGTTGCGAGTTTGAGCCCCATGTTGGGTATGGAGATTATATAAAAAAGAAAATTGAAAAAAATTGGATAGTAGAAATAAAATGAATGAAACCGGGAAATGAAAAGTAAAAGGTATGAAAGCAATTTAGGAAGAAAATAAGCCAAGCTGAGTAGGATCCACAGATTATGCAACTACCTCTTTGGAGAAGTTTCTTATCTGAGAAATAAGCAGGTGGAAGCAGAATGAGAGCAGAGGATTTCTGAAGAATGATTTGAATCTGTTAGACTCCCCGGGCTGGGTATAGCAGGGAACAACAGTTGTCCCTCCATATTTTTTCTCCCAATTTTCCATTGTAAAATAAATCACATTTTGTGGGGTACATGGCCACCTGGAACGCCGATCACATTTGCCAGCCTCTCCGGACAGCTAAGTTTTGGCTAATGGGATATAAGCGAATTTTAGGAAGTGTCGTTACTGAGAGAGATTGATTTTCTCTTTCCTTTCCTCCACTTTGCCATGTGGAATACAGACATGACTGCTGGAGTTCCAGCTGCCATCTTGAACAGTGAGGATGAGGGTCACACTGAAAGAGGGAAGGAAGTAGTCTGGGTTGCAGAGCTGTCACACAAGTCTTGAACTACTTTCACTTCCAGACTTTCATCTGGAAGCTAAATAAACTTCCGTCTTGCTTAATGCACTGTTAGTATGGATTTGTAAAAGAAAAGGGAGGAAGAATGAAAAAAATTAAGAAAAGAAAGAACCGAAGCCCTTTTCTTTGACTTTGCATAATCATGATAGTGTCAATAATTGACATTTACGGAGTGCTCCTTCCTACGGGCCAGGCGTTGTGCTCAGTACTCCACAATATATCTCAATATATCTTATTTAATCTCATGCCAACCTGTGATTAGACTCCCATGTATCAGAAGTTACAAAGTTGCCCAAGTTCATGAAGGTAGGAAGTGGTGGGTTCAGGATCTGAGGTCGAGTTTGTCTGTCCCGAAGAGCCCAAGCCAGTATTTTTCAAAATGAAGTTTGTGGTTCACCTGTATCAGACTCCTGGACCACATCCCTGATCTATTTGACCAGAATCTCTTGGAGTGCGATTCGAGTAGTTACTTTGTCATCAAGCTCCCCAGCATCCAAGTTTGATGCCCTGGTCTGAGTTACATATTATTCTAACTAAAACAGGAGCAATGGAATTTTGATGTAGGCTTTGTAAATGGCTAAGCTGCCTTTTTTCTTTCTTTTCTGGAAGATACTCCAGTGCAAGTGGCTACATATTTTATTTATTTATTTATTTATTTATTTATTTATTTATTTATTTATTTATTTATTTTTAGTGGCTACATATTTTAATGACTACTAAGCAAGTATATTAAAACTGAAATTGCACAGAGTGCTTACATCTTTTTGAAGATGTATGTACGTTGAAACCCTGAGATAGTTCTAGTTGCCTGACCACCTTCATCTTTGTGGCAGCGAACTGTCAGTCCATTCTTAACATCTTCTTACTCTTCAACCTCCCCTGGCATTCTCAGTTCTACATTCATACTTATAGGAACTACGGACTTCCTGCTGAAAAAAGGTCGGTGGGGCGGGTGGGTGCAGAGAGAGAGAGAGAATCTGAAGAAAGGAAGGAAATTAACATTTATTGTGGTACTGGCAGGCCACAGAAATTTGTCTCACATTACCGCTTTACTGCACTCTTCATGTATTGTCATTTACATCATCTCAAAATCCTATGAAGTCGGTGGTGTCACCCCATTGTACTGATGAAGAAACAGAAGCTCTGAGACATTCAGTGTTATCGCGCAAGGTCACACAGCCAGCGTGTGGCAGCCCCAAGACTGACTTAGGCTCTTTTGACCTCAAGGCCTGGTGTTTCTATCATCCTCATTCTCTTTCATCCAGCTGAAGTCACCAAGTATGTTTTTCCATCATAAAACTCATTTGGGTCTCTGTTTTATAATCAAAATCTGAATAGACTGTGAATGCAATTTGCTTGTTGCTGGCTGCATTAGCATGAATTATTGAACTCCAGAGCCCTCACATAAAAGTTAAGCACCTGAAGAGACTCAGCTGGTTGATTCTATCCGGTTCTCAACTGTTCTCTCAGGGGAAAATGACTCTGTGTTCCACATCAGCTATCACCTGTCACATTGTTGGTAATAGGTTTTATCACCCACAATTGTTTTCTGTCTCTACAGGTGTGGGTGGGAGGGGAATGGGGATAAAGTGGGTGTGGAGGTCTCAAAGCCAAGCCATTACCAAACCCTTTTTCCTGGTGATTTTCAGAAAGCCAGATGATCCAATGGAAGCTCGCATGTACCCCCAAAGCTTTCCTTCTCTGAGATTCAAAAGGCTCAAGACTTCTATGGTATTGTAACTTGTCTATTCATTTGTCACCGCAGTAGGGTCTGAGA